AAGAGAATTCAGGATTTCCCACAGCTGATCCTTAGGGAAAAAGAAACTAGAATGAAATAGTCATATTTGGTGTGTAGAGGCACAGATTTAATCATAAAGCATTACCTGATTATTAAATAGCCAATTTCATTGTATCTATGCTTCAACATAATCTTTGAGTAATTCTATGACTTTGTATTCTCAACTCTGCATTTATATATTTGCCCAAAGGGAACCACTCAGTTTCAAGAGTCTTTTGTGGGGTTTTTTCATGCATCTATACACAAGTCTAAAAATATTAGATATACATACAAGCATCAGAAACGAGAAGCAAATAGCAAACCCTTTATCCCTTTACAGAAGCACTGGAAGTTTTAAAAGGCAAGGTGATAGTAAATTCTCGTAGTGTGATTCCCCACGTTTTTTGGGTTCCATTTACAGGGGGCAGTTGCTTCTTTTTGCTTTTGCCAGTGACATAGTATCATTACAAAATATCTTTAATTGTTAATACGTAATATTATCCACTTATATACTAAACCCATTCACCTAAGATAGTAACTGCAAAATTAATATAGTGCATGTATTTGGGGTGTTCCTATACAAATTACTTGTATTTTCATTCAAAGCTCACTAGCTATGAGTTGCATTTGGATCCCAGATTCACGGATATGAACACTATTTCACTCTGTCAATGTATATATATATACCTCATCACTCATATAAACCCACTTTATATGTGCATATGTAGATATACAACAGTGTACAGTATAATAATGAATCTCAGCTGAGATGATGTTTTGCTTAATAAGACTGACCTGTTTGCTCTGTATGGCAAAAAGTCAATAGCTGAAGCAAAAGCTCATGAAATGTTAAGAAAATTTCAAAACAGCAGTTGTATATGCTGGCACTTTAAGTGAGCACAATACAGGTCTGATCCAGGGTTTTCCCAAAATCAGAGGGCTGGTTCTGTAATTTCAGATAACTACATCCCTGACAAAACTGGTGTAATCATTTCCAAAGCTTGAAGAGAAGAGAACCAAAGCAACTTCCTAAACAATCTTTAGTGGAAACAGAGAATTTGCATTTTGGAAGAAAAACTGAAGAAGATGTTTTTAGCTATATTGATACTCAGTGAAAAAAACATGTCTTTGAATCAGAGAAATGCAAAAAACTTGAGATTTTTATTTTTTGTGTTTGTTACCAAGCAACGAGTCTCTGAGTGTAAAAAGGAGAGCCTATACAGAATTAGCATGAAATACTCTCAAATACAGCAAACAAACTAGTTAATGTGACATAGTATCTTTATAGTCACGATTTCCACAACCTTTTGACGAATATCATCACACAGAATTGTATCACCTACCTGAAGTGGTTTGTCTCTAAGAAAAATGCAAACAAGGTTGTCAGAATTTTCACTAGCTGCCGGTTCATTCCTCCTGCTTTCTGTGATGATTTGGAAAATATCCCAGAAACGATTCCAGAGAGATGCGGGGAAAAAGTAAGCTGGTGCTGCCTAGATTCCCAAATTCAGCAATAATTTAATTTTCTTGACAATCAGGAAGAGAAGGTCTGGATCTCTACAAACTGGGGGTAAAAAAGAAGTGCCAGTCCTTGGACTCATGGTCAGGTTAAGCCTAGACTCATCTCCACCAGCCAGCATGAAAGAGACAAAGCATCAGACCTGGTTGTTTCCCTGACTTGCTTTTGGTGAAGGCGGGGGAAATTATTCTCAAATTCTTGGTACAGATAAATGACAGATGCAGAAAATAAAAAAAAAAAAAAAAAAAGTAAAAATAATTGAAAAAAAAAAAGAAGAAGAAAGAAAGAAAAAACGAAAGGAAGAGAAACCCAACTATGCAAGGAGCATCACGCAAAAGGGAATAGCGCTGAGAGCAGTTCTGTTGCCGGTACGTTTATTCCCCTTTCGCTTTGAAAATAAGTATTTATGACTGGTGGCGGGGCTACTGGATCGGTCTGCTTTTCTCCTCTTTGGGCAGGGAGGCGT